TAGTAATCTTGACTCTTCCAGATTTCCATAGAGTCCAAGATCTCCAAATTTGCTTCAAAGGAAGGCCTCCAACGGACGCCTAACTTCTGGAGCTTAGAATCTGTCCTGAAACGGGTTTGGCTCGTCTTTTGGTCCATTTTACTTAGAAACTCCTAAAACCTTATTGAAGCACAAATACATGAAAATGGCCTTGAATTCTCCAATATCTCTTGATTTCTCCATTGTAAACCTAATAAAAACATAGTAAAAGTGGGCGAAAATACGATGTTATCAGTTGCTGTTTTCTCAATTAAACCCTCCAGCTCTCCTGGCTCTGATGGGATGACTGGTAGTTTCTTCCAACAATACTGGGACATAGTTGGTGGTCAGATCACAGAGGAGGTCCTTTGTTTTTTTAGGGATGGGAGTTTTCCAGAAGGAATGGAATTTAACTAAGTTATCTCTGATCCCTAAGAAAGAAAACGCATCTGTTATGGTGGATTTAAGAGCGATTAGCTTATGCTCAGTGATGTACAAGATTATCTCTAAAATCTTAGTCTCCAGACTTAAACCTTTGCTTGGTGATATTGTTTCCCCAAATCAGTCCGCTTTTGTGGAGGAGAGACTTATTTCTGACAACACCTTAATTGCGCATGAGGTGGTCCATGGTCTTAGAACTCATCTGGATTCTTCTAAGGAATTTATGGCAGTTAAGACTGATATGTCCAAGGCTTTTGATCGTGTGGAATGGAGCTATCTTAGGGCTTTACTTTCGGCTTTGGAGTTTAATGATAAATGGGTGGATTTAGTGATGATTTGTGTCACTACTGTCTCCTATACTGTTTTGATAAATGGCCAACCTTTTGGATTAGTTGTGCCAGAGAGGGGTCTGAGACAAGGAGATTCTTTGTCTCCCTTTCTATTTGTTCTCTGTACGGAAGGGTTAACTCATTTGTTGAATAAGGCAGAATTGGAGGGAAAGATTAACGGCTTGCAGTTTTCTACTCTTGGCCCGTCTATTCATCATCTTTTGTTTGCAGATGATAATTTATTTGTCTGCAAAGCTGAGGTGTCGCAGTGTGAAACAATTCAAGAGATTTTGGAGACTTATGGAAGAGCTACAGGTCAGATCATTAATAAAGAGAAGTCCTCTATCACCTTTGGAGCTAAGATTGATGATTTAACCAAAGATCTGATTAAAAGGAAGCTGCAAATCATAAATGAGGGAGGTGCAAGTACCTATCTCGGTCTTCCTGAATGTTTTAGCGGTTCTAAGAAAGATATGCTTGAGTTTATTCATGAAAGATTAAAAAACAAGCTCTCTGGTTGGTTTGCTAGATCTTTATCTCAAGGTGGTAAAGAGATACTTATAAAGTCTGTGGCTATGGCAATGCCAGTGTACGCTATGTCTTGCTTTAAGCTGCCTAAATCGACTAGTACCACTCTTACTAGTGCGATCTCTTCTTTTTGGTGGAGTACCATGGAGCATCATAAGAAAATTCATTGGGTGGCTTTGGATAAGATGTGCCTTCTAAAGGAGCTTGGAGGAATGGTTTTTAAAGATATTGAAGTGTTTACTCAAGCTTTACTTGCTAAACAGGCTTGGAGACTCCTTCACTTCCCTGACTGCCTTTTTTTCTGTTTTTTCAAGAGTAGATATTTGGAGGATTGTCAGTTTCTTTAGGAAGCTCTTGGCAGTAGACCCTCTTTTGCTTGGAGGAGTATTTTACATGGTCGTATTCTTTTGGGGGAAAGGGCTTAGACAATGGATTGGAGATGGTGCTTCTACCAGTGTTTGGACTGGACAATGGATCATGGATGGCAGATTGAGAGCTCCACTAATGAAAAATATTATAGTGGATTTAGATTTATTGGTTCAGGATTTGATTGATCCAATCACTAACACTTGGGATTCGATTTTGCTTCATAAACACTTTTTCCAGAGAGATATTGACATCATTTCCAAATTGAAACCGGTGGTCTCTTGTTTAGACTTTATGTGTTGGCAACATAACAAGAATGGAGAATATTCTGTGAGGTCCGGATATTGGCTGGCATCTAAAGACCCAGGCACTTCTACTTTATTGGAGGCCAATGCTCAGCCGTCTACTTATGTCATCAAGCAGTTAATTTGGGATTCTTTGGCTCCTTCAAAGTTAAAGGTCTTTATGTGGAAAGCTATAAGTGGGGCAATTCCGGTTGCTAATAAGTTGGCTTCTAGAGGCATTTCTTTGGATTCCCGGTGTCAGTTGTGTGGACTAGAGGGTGAATCAATTAACCATCTCCTTTTTGTTTGCACTTTGGATTCCTCTGGGCTTTGATTAAGCTTCCCTCTCCGGTTAATGGTTTCGCTGATCATGCTCTTTCCACAATCTCCATTATGTGTTGATGTTGGCTAAGAATCCCAAGGTGCATGTTAATAATAGGAGAGCTATTCCTTGGATCTTATGGTTACTTTGGAAAAAGCACAACAATCTTGTCTTCGAAGGTATGGTTTTCCCAGTAATTGAGATGGTTAATAAGATCAAGGATGATGTTGAGCAATGGTTTTTAGCACAACAAGTTGAGCATTTAGAGGTTTCTCGAGGTCTCCCACAAGCTGTGGTGGATAAGAAGTTCTGGAGGCCACCGGAAAAACCTTGATTGAAATGCAATCTTGCTTTTTCTTGGGACAAGGATAAACTTTTGTGTGGTGCAGCTTGGGTCCTAAGAAATTCTCAGGGTACTGTTTTGCTTCACAGTAGAAGAGCATTCAGTCCGGTTTTATCAAAGCTTGATGCTGAAGTGGATGTTTGGCTTTGGGCTATTGAGAGTATGAAGAGCCTTAAAATCAAAAATGTTTGTTTTGCTGCTGACTCTAACGATCTCATCTCTGCGATTTTGCGTCTGACGGCTTGGCCCTCTTTTTATTTCAATCTGAGGTGTTGTCAAGAGCTATAGGGTTGCTTCCTTGCTGGAAATTGTTCAAAGAAGAAAGAAGAGCTAACAGAGGTGCTTCCATGATTGCTCATAGTGTAACGAAGGAGGATCGATTACAATCATACATAGTTTCGGGCTACCCCTTTTGGCTAAAGAAAGTGTTCACCGAAGAGTTGTGCGTTACTTAATTGTAATGCGTCTTTTGTTTTCTTGTTGGTGATTGTTTTCGATCCTTGCTTTTTTTTGTTCCTGTTGTAACATTTGTAACTCTTATTGTTCTTATAATGAAGTTATTCAGGCGAAAAAAAAAAACAAAAGTCAAATCACGTAAAAAGTGAAAAACCCACGAAACATAAATTTTTGAAAATTAACAAAAACTAATAGATTTCCTATTTTTTTAAAAATTCATTTTTCATAATCTTGATTGGCTATAAAGTAGATTTTTTTGTAAAAACTAAAGCCAAATTAACATTAATTTAGACAATTTCTCTATGTTTTACGTGAGAAGAGCGCATCTCAAATGATATAGTTCACTGTTTTAAAACTCTTAACTAAAATTAATCGGTATCTTAGAATGAAATCTAGTTTTTTTGTTCATGCGAAGATTGTGTACGTAATTGCGAATGTCACCAATTTGTGAAAAAAACTTAGAGCCTAATGTTTACTTGTGTTTTCATGACGTAGATAGAAAGGTTAATATCAGAAGTTTTTGTTAATTTATATTATTAGTTGTATACAGTGGCGGACCCAGAAATAAATTTTACCGGGGTCAAATTTTTTTTTAAAATAGTATAATATAATTAATTTTATTATAATATTATACAAACACTAAAAACAATCATTTTCATAAGCTGTTAAAAATGGTATATAAATTGTTGTGATTTTTTAAGGAAAAAAATATATATAAGACAAAAAAAAACATGTATTTAAGGTTAAATGGGGTAAAAAGGAGTAAAAGTGTTGTGATGGTGGTTTGAACTCAGGTTTGGGGGGGTCAAAAGCCTTGGATATTGCCAATTGTGCTGTTGTTGTTAACTGGTTTTACATACAAAGTATTTTATTTCTTAATTTAACCTGGGTCAAGTGACCCACCATCCTCCTTGGTGGGTCCGCCCCTGGTTGTATAATACTCCCTCCGTATTTTAATAATTGTCGTTTTAGAAATTTTATTTTTTTGAATTGGATGTCGTTTTCAAATTTCTATGCAAAATTTATGACTTTTTAATGTTTTACACATAAAACATTAAAAAGTCATAAATTTTGCATAGAAATTTGAAAACGACATCCAATTCAAAAAAATAAAATTTCTAAAACGACAATTATTAAAATACGGAGGGAGTAATATTATTGTTTAGTTGACGTTTTGGTTAATGTAATTAGTGCCAATCTTATGCCAGGGAACAATGATTGATGTATATACCCTCCTAAGTGGCTTTATGAACAGTATATAGCTGTCAGCTAGTCACACAAATCTTAAATCTATTTTTAAAAATGCCAATTATTACATTAAGAATATGATTAACCAAGACGAGGTTAATGCAGATAATATCTGATATGTTAGCTAGATTGAAATGAGATTGTTATGCTGACTTTTCTCTTGATTTCTTACTTTTAATTCAATTTAACATATAAAGATTATACTTAAATAGTTGGCTCAAGTCTCAACCTTCCTTAACACATATATAAAAACTCTTTTTGAGATATTATTTGGAATATTCGGACACAAAGATTCCAACTCATAGATCATACCAAGAATCAAACTAAATTTCATTTAAATATTTTTCATAGCCAATAGAAATTGGTTATAAACACTTATAAAAAAAAACGAAAAAGTTCGGTTAAATAACACAATTGTTAACATAAGTTGAAAGTACAATTTATTCATCATCTCAAACAAAACACAAATCAAGAGAGAATTAACATTTCAAAGATTAAAAAAAGTAAAAATAAAAAGTCAGATGTTCGACTTTGTCCCCATTTCACCATTGTATGAACCAAACAAACTCAACAACCATGCATATATTACACATAATATCATATCATCTCAAAAAAAAAAAATAACCCATAGTTCTTAAATCAGTTCCTCTCATATACACACACATACGTATATGATGTGTTTATGTATGAATAGACGATATTAAGCTTGCTGCTCAGCCAATCCCGGAGCACAATGTGCGACCGCGTCGCTAACAGTAAGAAAGATATTTTTCTCTCCAATCTCCTCGACGAATTTGGAAGCATAAAGTTTCTCAATCACCACTGGTCCCGGGTTTGCTAGAATCAACTGTTCAATTTCATGTCAATTAATCAGATTAATCGTTGACATCGTCTTAATATGATTTTATACACTAATTTAAGTAAACACACAACTAAAAGATGTATTTTATTTACTTTAGTTATTGTTTATATTAAGAATCCTTTTACTTTAGTCAAAATCAAAAAATTCATCTCTTAAAAATAAAATTATCATTCTTACAAAAATTATAAAATTCATCTAAAGATTTGTTGTTATGGCCCAAATTTCGTTATTTAGATTTTGTTAAAAATATAAAGCTCTAAAATTTTAGTATTGATAGTTTTGCTTATGACTATAAAATACTCAATTTTAATAACTAAGCTAATTGCAACTGATAAATGTTATATTGAGCAATACAAGATTTGGTTACCTGAATATCTTGCTTCTCGAGGCTCTTGAAAAGTTCTTCGATGGAGTGAATACCACTGGTATCGACATCGGTAACCGCTGCACATATAAATTCATACTACTATTAATAATTTTGTAACATTAAAAATATTTAATACTTCTACCACATAAGCTCATTAGATTAGTTTTTTTTTTGTAAAGAATTTTTTTTTGGTTAAAGAAGATGATCAATATAGTTATAGAAAATTATTCTTACGTGACATCTCAAGAATCACAAATTTGATTGCCGGCATGCCATCTTCTTTAGCCATTTCTTGCTCCTCTCGCAACCATCTTGATGCCCTGTGAACAAATTTCAATTATTTCATGAGTTTTACATCAAAGTGTATTAGACCATGTCATAAAATTTCCCCGACGAGTAATTAAATTCTTTAATTATAACCGTTTTGTGTTATGTTAGGGAGGTTTTAGTTTTCTTATGTTCTATTTAGAAAATTAAAATAAAGGTATAATTTAACAGGAAAAGGCATAGTTTACAAAATCATTTACCTAGTTATAATTTGTATAATATATTTTTTAAAAAATGTTTTGTTAGTAACCATGATAAAGGATGATGTGTAGATATATTTACCTTTCTCGGACATAGTTGGAGTTGGAAAAGTAGATGGCGGAGTCAACACGGATGATCAAGATTCCGGGAATCCTGGCAGCGTCCGGATACTGTAGAGTGTTCCGATACACATTCGAATTTGGCAGCTTGCCTAGAATCGCGGTTCTTGGTCTCGTCACTTGCAGCAGTATCTTTGCAAAAGAGATCACCACCTATATAAATAGTATCACCAACAACCAAAAATAATTAAGCTATACATAGATAACAATCGATTATAGATAACAATCTATTATATAAGCGATCTTACGGAGATCAAGAGACCGATCTCAACAGACACGAAGACGACTCCAAAGAAAGCTCCCATGCAAGCCAAGAAGTCGAGTTTATCAATCTTCCATATGAGAACAGCTGCGTCAATATCGATAAGACCAAGGACAGCCGATATAATGATAGCCGCGAGGATAGCATTTGGAGTGTACTTGAAGAGTGGTGTGATGAACTCTAAGGTTAGAGCTACCACTATAGCCATCACTATGTTTGAAACCGCTGTGTGGACTCCCGCCATATAGTTCACGGCAGATCGCGAAAACGAACCTATAAATTTTCTTAAATGTATGTTACGCATGACCGTCTTTTACAAGAACGAAACTTATGTCTCATTTGCTTGTTTTTTTCTTAGAATTATATCACAAATATCCAAGTTTAACAAAACTCTATAAAATTTTAATGTTTTCGAAGCTTACCAGTGGCAATGTAACAAGAAGTGAGTGAACCGGCGACATTCATAGTCCCTAGGGCGATCATCTCTTTGTTCCCATCGATTTGATAGTCTTTCATTGCCGCAAATGTTCTTGCAATCGCTACAGCCTCCTGGAAAAGGAAATTATTTTGACATAATTTGGCGCCGTATTAGAATACAAAATATTAAAGAGTTCTTACTTAAATATATGCATATGTGACTTACCGTTAAGGCGACCATACCAGCGATGCCTCCAATTCGGATTCCTTCCATAAAATATTTTCCGGAGAAGAAGAGTTTTTTATAGGAAAGCGGATTGATTCCTTGGTCTATATGTTTCACCTTCATAGTTTATATGATAAAAGATTGTTGATTATAAACTAGTGAATCTATCAAAATATTATTCATCAATGATGATAAAAACGTATATAATTCATGACATGCATGTGTCAGCTTACGATTTGGACTCCTTGTTTATCAGCACGAGTTATGAAGACAAAGAAGGTCGAGATAATGACAGAAATAAGAGGAGCAATTGCTGGAACCCAAAAGAGTTTCTTGTTTCTCTTCCCCTGTAATAAAATTTTCATTTTAGAAATAGAGATATATAACAAATATACACACATATATCTATATATATTGGAGATTAAAAAAAAAAAAAAAAAAGGGTTACAATGAATTTGCAGACGACAAGAAAGGTCAAGAAACTGGCACCAATGACTATAGTTTGCCAATTCCACTGGATCATGAATAAACGGAAACAAATGAGATATTAACTTCTTGATTAACGTAAAAAAAAAGAAAGTATTGAGGAAGATAATGAAAGAAAGTAGAGTAATCAAAAGATACCCCATGACGAGCGTTTTCGAAAACGGATTGCATGACAGAAATAATATCAGTTTTCTTGGTAAACGTCTTGATGCCAAGAAAGCCCTTAAGCTGTTGGAGAGCGATTGTGATGGCTGCTCCTCCCATGAACCCAACAACGGCTGCATGTGACAGAAAGTCTATCAAGAATCCCAACCGCAGTAAACCGAGGCCGAATTGGAAAACGCCAGCAAAGAAAGTGGCAGTGAAGGCAAGGCGAAGATAATTATCTGGGTCATCCTTTGGGTCGATCACGGCCTGGCACAAAGTTCCCAAAAGAAGAGACACCACAGCGACTGGTCCTATCGCAATATCTCTAGAACTCCCCATGCCCGCGTACACCAGTGGTGGCACGAAACTCGAGTCTACACACAAAACCATGCACTAATATTTTAGCACACGAGAGTAATTTATTTTACCTTTGCTGACTGATCATCAAATGATCTTCATTTTCTCATTAACAAAAAAACTTAGGTCAAATTGTTTTAAAACTCACATAGTCCGTATTTTGGATCCAAATTCGCGAGTTTTGCATATCCGATGTCCTGTCATCCATGAAACATAAAAATGAGATATAGATATGGATTGGATATCAAAGGAAGAAAGGTACCAAAAAGTCCGTGGAATTTAGAAAAATGGAGTCTTTAATAGTAAACCTGAGGGATGCAAAGACTAGCAATGGTGAGACCAGCAATGACATCGCCTCTAAGTTTGCGAAGATTGTACTCTCTGGCCCACCCAACGATCGGGAAGACAGCCTGGATCCCGAGCAACGTCTTCTTAGCTGGGGTTTGGCCCTTGAAATCCCTAAGGGGTGCATCATGGAAGAAAGTTTCTTCAACCACCGACTTGAAGTCCTTTAGCAAACCCGCTTTCGGAGGAGCTAGCACTCTCTGACGAACGTCTGGATTGTTTCTAATTGAACCGGACCCTCCTCCGTCCGGCGGATTAGTCCCGGACATGATTGTTGAAGTTTTAGTTGCCTGCAATTGTTTCCATTAATAAACATTATTTAGAAAATGAAGTAATGACTAGCTTCGTAATGTGTTAGTGAGGTCTAGATTTAAAACCTTAGACGGAGGATACTCTTATTTGGAGGAATAGTAGATTTTCTTTGAGGGATTGGAGTGTTGCTGCGTAGTTTATATAAGTTGTGATATATTTAAAAGTCAACTCTCAAGATCACACAACTTGGATTTCTTTTTTTGTAATAAAAAACATGTACCCTTTGATAAGTTCAGCGAAAGCAAACATATATATATATATATATATATATATATATATATATATATGAAAATATGATAATAGTATTGAACAATATTTGAGGGTGTATAAATTAATACTCCCTCCGTTTCGTTTTACTTGTCGTTTTAGAGTTAAAATTTTGTTTCATAATAGTTGTCGTTTTAGGTTTTCGATGCAAATGTTTTGTGAAAATTCCAGTTTTATCTCTACTGTTTTAATGTTTCGGCCAATGAATTTTTTTATAAAATATATTAATAAAGGATAAAACAGAAAATTTAATGTTTTTCTTAATATGTGTGAGAAAACCTTAAACGACAACTAAAACGAAACGGAGGGAGTATGATTTTGGGAGGAATGAAATGCCAAAAGGTTGACTTTGGCCATTTATGCGGTGTGAAGATAGATACGAGAAAAAAGTATACATTAAATTCAAGAAAATGCTGATTCAAAATTTGTCTCTACAGATTTCTTAATGTTTTTAAGAATATACATTAATTAAATATTTACGTAAACACAGTTCAGTCAATGATAAGAAAATAAATCTAAAATACAAATGGTAAAAAAATATTGAAATAGTTTGCATAGAAAAATGGAAACAACGCTTAGTTTAAAACAAAAAAAAACTTCTCGAAAACATCATTTATTGTGAAATATAGTACTATTTAAGTTATATAGTATGCAAGAGTACTTTTCATGTACATTACTACACATCGATGCTTGAAATATCAACTGAATATTGATGGTCACGATTAAAACAAATATTAAAAAATATTGATTGTTAAAACTCGATGAATATAGGGCCACATTCCAACTAAATCTGGCCTGTCGGACTAGATATAATGTTTAACTATAATTATGGAGATGTGCCTTTAGTCAAGTGGTTAAGTCCATTTGACTCTGCTTTTTCCACCGGAGTTCGACTCCACTAAGCCGCGTTACCCCGCGTAGTAGGATTGACTATGGATCGGACCTTGTCGATCCAAAGATGTCAAAAAAAAAAAAAACTAATGATATATTAATTACCAGCCTAAAATAAAAGTTCTAGGCTTCATATCTTATATAATATGAGAAGGTTTTCTTTTAACTTTTCCTACCATTGCGACATTTGGCACTCTCTTTTGGTGACATGTGTCCTCTTTCATTTCATTAATGTGTGTTTTAATTTATTTAAAATCCTTAGTTTTGAAAGTTTGTACCTACAATTTAATTCCAAAAAGATATTTCTCTTATCCTATTGATACATTTGCCATGTATTTAAATTGAAATTTGTGTCTAATTTGTTTAGCCAAAATTAGTATCTACTTAATCACCACTTATTCATCTGATTCAAAATTATGGATCAGTTAAATCTTAACTTCACAAAATATTAGTACATTTTTAAAACTTCTCATAATATTAGTACATTTGGCATCTATTTTAAATTTAATTGTTTTCCTCATTTTTCTATCTTACATCATATTTTCATATCTCCATAATATACATTTCTAATCTTTTCTAATTTGTCTCTTTTTTTTTCTTCTTTCCAATCTAACTTTTAAAAAAAAAAAAAATTATAACACCACTTTATTCTCACATTTTACAACTCCAAGTTGGAGTATTTATTTACAATTTTTATTACACAATACATTTACACAAAATATTAGTACATTTTAAGAACTTCTCATAATATTAGTACATTTGGCATCTATTTTTAAATTTAATAGTTTTCCTCATTTTTCTATCTTACATAATATTTTCATATCTCCATAATATACATTTCTAATCTTTTCTAATTTGTCTCTTTTTTTTTCTTCTTTCCAATCTAACTTTTTTAAAAAACAAATTTATAACACCACTTTATTCTCACATTTTACAACTCCAAGTTGGAGTATTTATTTACAATTTTTATTACACAATACATTTAATGTATTTATATAGTATAATATAATTTACAGGAATTATTAAATTTAATATGTCATCCCATACAGTAAAACCTCTATAAATTAATATTCCATAAATTAAAAACTTCTCTAAATTAATAAATTCTTTCGGTTCCGAGTTAGGACCAATATGAGAAGGTTTTCTTCTAACTTTTCCTACCATTGCGACATTTGACACTCTCTTTTGGTGACATGTGTACTCTTTCATTTCATTAATGTTTGTTTTAATTTATTTAAAATCCTTAGTTTTGAAAGTTTGTACCTACAATTTAATTCCAAAAAGATATTTCTCTTATCCTATTGATACATTTGACATGTATTTAAATTGAAATTTGTGTCTAATTTGTTTTGCCAAAATTATTATCTACTTAATCACCACTTATTCATCTGATTCAAAATTATGGATCAGTTAAATTTTAACTTCACAAAATATTAGTACATTTTTAAAACTTCTCATAATATTAGTACATTTGGCATCTATTTTTAAATTTAATTGTTTTCCTCATTTGTCTATCTTACATAATATTTTCATATCTCCATAATATACATTTCTAATCTTTTCTAATTTGTCTTTCCAATCTAACTTTTTTAAAAAAAATTATAACACCACTTTATTCTCACATTTTACAACTCCAAGTGGGAGTATTTATTTACAATTTTTATTACACAATACATTTACACAAAATATTAGTACATTTTAAAAACTTCTCATAATATTAGTACATTTGGCATCTATTTTTAAATTTAATTGTTTTCCTCATTTTTCTATCTTACATAATATTTTCATATCTGCATAATATACATTTCTAATCTTTTCTAATTTGTCTCTTTTTTTTCTTCTTTCCAATCTAACTTTATAAAAAAAAAATTTTATAACACCACTTTATTCTCACATTTTACAACTCCAAGTTGGAGTATTTATTTACAATTTTTATTACACAATACATTTAATGTATTTATATAGTATAATATAATTTACAGGAATTATTAAATTTAATATGTCATCTCATACAGTAAAACCTCTATAAATTAATACTCTATAAATTAAAAACTTCTCTAAATTAATAAATTCTTTCGGTTCCGAGTTAGGACCAATGTAAAATATGACATAAATCGATAAATTAATAAGATAATAATTTTTTTCCAAGTTGGTCCCAACATTATTAATTTATAGAGGTTTTACTGTATATTGTTTTATAAATGTCTCAGTGAATGAAATTCTAACTTATGTAACAGTCAATGTAATTTTAATAAAGAAATATAGTAACATGCATTAATTATATTAATGTATTGTTCCATGTGTTACGCTTCTCTCAAAATAAATGTTTGCGACGAGTTTTCTTCTCCAGTAACGCTTTTCATGTGGCTTCTAATACCAAAATATGTTAGTGTTTTTTTTTTGTTCTGGAATTAGTTACCCAAATTAAAACCCACAAATGAACTTACTAAAACATATGTAACGTCAAATAACTCTAAATTGATGCATTAGGCTAACACATAACCACAATAACTCCAATTAATTCAAAACATTAAATCTAATTAATTTTAGAGTGTAAATTAATACTCTAAATATTGACTCCAATTAATCTACTTCTATATATTACCCACATGTGAAGCTAAAAAAACTATTGTAGAGTTTTTGCTTTTTTCAGTCCATTCTTTTATTTTTTATTGACTTTTAGTTGCTTTCTCTTTATTTCAGGCTATCGTCCACATAGTAAAAATATCTACAAAAGTTTTCTCATTTGGTGTTCAAGTTAGGTTTGTGATTTCATATGGTGTTCAAGTTAGGTTCACCAACACCATTAGTTCTACATAAAAGTGTTCTATTTTTTTAAAGTTCTATTTTTAATTGTTTCTCTATTTTTCAACTCACCAATAAGATTTATATACATACATTGAGAAATTTTATATCTATTATTATGGTCAGTTAAAGTGTAATTATAAATTTAAGTATTTAGATAAATGGCATTACATTATATTTATTAAATTTTTACTCTTATGATCTATATGTATTCATAAATTTGAAAACCATAAGTTTGTTAAAAAAGTTATGATATAAATTGAAAAACCATTTATGTCATTATTCTCAACATCACTTATCAAAAAGTTAAGAGTTTGTTTTCAAATTTATGAATACGTAAAGCTGTTTCAAGATGATTTTGTTCTTGAATACGTAAAACTCATGGGATCATGAGTCATTCTTTATTTGATAGTTTATGCCATTCTTTATTTCTTTTACATAATTACTCAACGTTTGAGAGGCATCGACGTTTGAGTTTCATATCGCTTGAGTAAATAGTTTTATTTTATTTTTAATATTGTATAACATACAAATTAAGTAAGAAATAAAGATCATATGAAAGAATATAACATTTGTATTTATTTTTATCAAAGTTTCCATAAAACCAACCCAATGAAATTCAACCAAAAAATTTAAAAAGTTCCACCAAAGATTTTTTTTTAATCTATCCTCATGGGATTTTTTGAAAAGAATTATGTTTGCTAAGGGTAATTGCATAGAATATCATAATTGACTAATTCAGTTAAAACCTAACATGCCATTAAAGTATTTAGATAAACGGCATTACATTATATTTATTAAATTTTTGTATTCTTATGACCTATATATATATACAAAGTTTATAAAATGGCATTTTGTTTTTCAAAGAATTGAAAACTGAACTAAATTTTTTTGATATAAACTTTCAAAGATAAATTTTTTATTATATCATCTGAAGTCATTTTCCTAAATTAAATATGATTATAATTAAGTGTAACATATATATTTGTTTTTTGTGCATAGGCTGATTAAATTTAACTTAGGTTTGGGCCAGACCCATTACAAGAGAAACCAGAGACTGTTTTGACAATGAATCGGCATCTGAGTTCTGCAAACGGGGAATGAAACTAAAAAAAAATAACATCAAAGGTAGAAGATAAATTCAGGATATCG